ACCACTACTATTACAACTACTACGACGACGACTACGACCCCCACTACAATTTCTTCTACTACGGCAAGAGGGGTTTGGGAAAAGGAAGAAAAAAAGACCACATACGCCCAGAGGTCTGGTGGGATATCGGGGCATAGTACGCTAAAAAGTCTTGAGCGAAACATTCGGCCCTCCCTAACGACACGTCGTTGCACGACAAGGGGGTCACTTATCAGGAGAGGGATGTAAGAGGGGGCGAAGATTACACGCAGAGGTTTAGATCCAGCAAGGATGCTTGCGTCATCATCAGCTCCCCCAGCTCTTGCTTCTTATGCATCTGCTTCGCTCCCGTCTGTCCCCGCGGTCTTTCTCCCCGCGCCTGCCCCAAAGCCCTGGTTAAAAGGAAAAGGCAGGGACGCTCAGATGATGCAGCGCAGGCTCCCTGGCCATGGCAGAGTGAGTTCGACTTTAGGCAGTGGGCGATGGTGAGCTGGCCAGTCTCGAGGCCACCCAGCCAGTGGGAGGGTGGGGCTGAGTCGGGTGGGGTTGGCGACGGCTTGAGCCGATTGACGCTGGCCCCCAAGGGACCCACCAGGACAGCGCGCCCGAACGCTGGATCGCCTTCGAGGGGCGGTGCGAGCGGTGCTCGCGCAGGCTTGGAGGGCCGGGCTCGGCTCATGTTGAGAGTAGATTATGGCAAGCGCGACGCTCAGAAGTCTCGAGCAGCGGCGCTTTCGGATCGCTCGCACGTCAATGAGCGGATTTGATTGGACTGGAGGAGGAGGCGGCGTACAGGAGGTGAGGGACAGAAGGCAAAGTTTGTCCTCTGATCCTCCCGGACTCCGCGGCGCCGGTCCCGAGCAGGGCGGCATCGACAGGGGCATCGATGACCTCCCTGCAGCTGGGGAAGTTAATCATCCAGTCGCACGCGCCTCGGCTGAAGGAGGAGGAGGAGGAGGAGACCATCTAGGCTCTTGCGGGCTCCGTATCTTTCTGTCTCTCTCTCTCTCTCTCCCCCTCTTGCCTCTCCGCCGCCGCCGCTGTCACTGATGCCACGAGGGTGCTACGCAGCTCGCCGCCGAGCAGCAAAGAGAGGAGGGGGAAACACCGGGGGAGAAGGGGGCAGGAGGCAGAGGTGGAGAACGACGACGGCGGTGGCAGGCTCAGGCGCCGGGCTCCACGGTGAGAGGCTCCAGCCCAGGCGCCCGGCCGAGATCCGAGGGCGGAGGAGGCTCGCCAGCGCGGCTGCGTGCGAGGAGGAGGAACAGGGAAGACGAGCAAGGGTATTCGCGGTTCGGTCGGTTCGGCTGCTTCGCAGTCGGTTGTGTTCGGTCCGTTCGGTTCGGTCGGTTATCGTGTCGTTGCTGCGTCGTTGCGCCCTTCTGGGTTGTGTTAGCAGCCTGACGGCGTCGGTCGGCTTCGACGGTGCTGTCAGTTCGGTCGGTGTTCGCTTGTGTTGTCGCCGTGGACGGTCTTCAGAATCAGGGGGGCACAGGAAAGAGGAGGGAGGAGGAGGCCAAGGAGAAGAAGGAGGTCTAATCGGCGAGAGATGCAGGAGGGGGGAGGAGGCGGGAGAGGAGGAGGAGGAGGAGGAGGAGGAAGAGGATCAGTGCAAACCCCAAGTCTCAGTCACAATGTTGGGATAAACCCTCCCTCCAAGCTCCCTCTTCATAGGCCGCTACACGAATTCATTTACACTAAGGCAGTGCCCCATTGGACGAGAATCGTTCGAAGGTCCTGAAGCGCGCCAAAACACAGTTTTCGGGATTCCAGCGCCATCCTGACTGCTGCGTCTTGACGATCCTGGATCGTACCAGAACGCCTTTCCTGTCACTTTGAGAATGCAAATCAATGCAACTGCTGCGCCCTGACAATCCTGAATCATTCCAAACACCGTTTCTGGTACGTTAACAATGGGAGCCCGTGAAATTCTTGCAAATGTTCCAAACGAATGTGCGCGGCGCTAAGGCCAGAGCCTCAGTTTGAAAAGGCACCGCCCTCGAGGCGCGAAACTCTGGCAAATGTTTGAAACGAATGCGCGGGGCGCTAAGGCGAGAGCCGCATTTTGAGAACGGCCCGCCCTGAACTGCTCAATCCGCACGACTCTGAAGAACGAGTGCGCGCGGCGCTCTGAGGCGAGGGCCGCATTTTGAAAACCACCCGCCCTCAACCCGTGAGGCTCTTGCAAATCATTCACACGAATATGCGCAGCGCTGAGGGGGAGAGCCACATTTTGGGAGCGGCCCGCCCCCCATACGTGAAACGATTGCCAGCTGCCAAGCTCGAGGCTCCTGAGTGATACGGAAGTCTCGGGCGAAGCGCCCAGCCCGCCCTTCCGACCGGTCTCGGGGTTCGACAGGGGGGAGTAATGCATAAGGAAACGGAAAGGAGGAGGAGGAGTAATATGAGGAGGAGGAGGAGGAAGATAAGAAGAAACAAATGGAGGAGGAGGAGGAGGAGGAGGCGGAGGAGAAGAAGGGTGGCGGGGAGGAGGAAGCATCATCTGGGAGAGGAGGAGGCATGCTCCGGGAAAGATGCAGGAGGAAGGCAGGAGGAGGAGGAGGAGGAGCAGGAAAAGACGACGACGGCGGCAGCGACGACGACGAGGACCAGGTCGACAGCGAGGGCGCCCACGAGCACGAGCACGCGGACGAGGGCCGACCTCACGGCCCCGAGCCCTCCTCCTCCCCTTCCTCCTCCTACTCCTCCTCCTCCTCCTCCTCCTCCTCCTCCTCCTCCTCCTCCCTCCTCCTCCTCTCTCCTCCTCCTCCTCCTCCTCCTCCTCCTCCTGCTCTCCCTCCCCCTCCCCCTCCTCCTCCCCCCTCCCCCTCCCCCTCCTCCCCCTCCCCCTCCTCCCTCCTCCTCCTCCTCCTCCTCCTCCTCCTCCTCCTCCTCCTCCTCCTCCTCCTCCTCCTCCTCCTCCTCCTCCTCCTCTTCCACCTCTCCGAGCCGAGGCCGGGCCCCCCCGACCTCGACGGGGACGTGGCGGGCACCGACGTGCTGGTCATCGGGGATGCGCCCAGCGAGAGCGCGCCGTACCCGTGGATCTGCGAGGCCCCGCGCCCGTCCGCCGCCGGAGGGGGGCGCGATGGGGAGGACGAGGCCAGCGAGCGACCGAAAGAGTGCTTTTCGCCCTTGGGCAGTGGGCGGCGGCGGCGGCGGCGGCGGGCCCACGCCGGCGACGACGACGACGACGGCACGACGACGACGACGACGACGACGCCGACGACGACGACGACGACGACGACGACGACGACGCCGTCGACGCCGACGCCGACGACACCGACGACACCGACGCCGACGGGGGGCGAGGGGAGGACGAGGCCAGCGAGCGACCGACAGAGTGCTTTTCGTTTCGTCGCGACAGTTCGCCTTTCTCGCCGAGCGCGCTCCACTACTCGCAAAGCGCCTACAGTCGGGGCCCTGAACAAGGAACCCTTTTCGTTTGGGAGGGGCTCCGCGTTCCTCAAGTGTTTCACAGCTTGCCTCAGGCTTTCCTTATGTTTCCGACAGGAAATCGAAGGTTCACTTATGGAAAAAAGGGCCCTCGTTCCTTATTTAGGGTTCCTTAGGTCGACGCCCCGACTGTACTCGCAAACGTCCGAAAAGCACCTGCCTGCTTCGATGCAGCTTATCGTAGATCCCCGTGCGGCGGATCCAGGCTATTTGCGAGTAGTTACTCTGCGAGTAGTGGAACGCGCTCGTCTACTTTCGGTTGCCCCGATTGGTCCAACGCTGGTGCGGACTGCCTCTGCCTCGCCCGCCGACGAAAAAAAACAGCATTTTTCGTTTTGTGTCCGTTGGCCCGCGTTCCAGTCCGCCCTTGCTGCAAGAAACGAAAGCGAAACGAAAACGGCCCACGAGATCGCCAAAACACCGTTTAGGTCGACCCGTGGAAAGTGATCGTTTTTATTCATTGTTCTGCCTCTCGGCGCGGGCCCTCGCACCCCCCCTCGGCCCTCCACCCCCCGCGTGGAGTAGATCTTAGCTGTTTCGGGCGTCTGGTCTCGAGCAGGTGGAGCCGCCCCCCTAGGACGCGCTGTTCAAAACAGTCGCCCCAAGCAGAGGTCTGGAGCCAGACACCCCCCTCCCCCCCCCTTCCGCCCAATGCCGAAACGCCGAATGAAAAACGCTTGTCGTTTTCTTATTCATTATTTTGCCGATCGGCGCGGGCCCTCGCACCGCCCCTCCCCCCATGGAGTGGATCTTGGTCGTCTTGGGCGCCTGTCTCGAGCAGGTGGAGCCTCCCCCCTAGGACGCACTGTTGCAAACAGTCGCACGAAGCAGAGGTCTGGAACCAGACACCCCCCCTGCCGCCCAGTGTCGAAACGCCGACTTGGAAAACGTTCACCAAGTCGCCTGGTGAGTGAGACCGCATCTGTGTTCCATTCGGCTACACCAGCAGGGACGAGCTGCCAGAGTCCATGGCGCGCCCAGTTCAGCGCACCAGTGCTGCCCATGAGGAACTCGATTACTTCCGCCACATCTTGGCAGCGGCCAGGGCAGAGCAGAGAAGAGTAGAGCATAGCTGAGCGCCTTACAGGAGCCTGTGCGCGCGCAGGTTGTTATACTAGGTGCACGCACGTCGTTAGTGGAATTGTGTTTGGCAAGCTCCTGCTTGGAGTCACTGCTGGAATTTACTGTACACAAAGATCAGGAGACCCGCGGGCCAGGGAGAAGGAGTAAAAGGGGGAGAGGGAGGACGTGAAGAGGAAGGATGAGGAGGAGGAGGAGGAGGAGGAGGAGGAGGAAGAGGAAGGAAGCATCAAGGAGGAGGGGATGATGAGTGCAAGGGAGAACGATCAGCAGGAGGACGATGAGGAAGAGGAGAGAAGAGAGGCGAGGAGGAGGGGCAGGGCGAGCGGGAGGAAGAGGGGAGAAGCAGAAGGAGGAGGCAGGGAGGAAGTTCAGTATGGAGCCCCCTACCATTCCAGCCTGAGGTCGCGCTGTGGTGCGGGTGGACGCACCACGGGACCCTGTTTGCGAAGAGCAAGTGCGTCGTGCTCGCGCTGGACGCGAAGGTTTTCAGGGGGGGGGGCCTCGATGATCCGACGAGCCGAAAGTGTGAGCAAGCGTGAAGTACAGTACGCACATCGGGCGGGCGGAAACAGTAGCAATAAACGTGGGGGGGGGGGGGGGCGGACCGAGGCAACAGTGGCCCGAAAGGGCTTGAATGCCCCTTCTGCCTCCGCGGACCCAGAAAAGTGCACGAATGGTGCACGTTTCTTTGGCTCCCGTTCACTGCCCCCTCCGCTGACGAAGGCCGAGAGCAGTCCAGCCCGTTATGAGAAACGGCATCTCAGAGATCTGGGCGACAGGAAGGGCGCACCGGTTCCCTTGCAAGACTCGCTGAAGAAAAGCGCGATGCCCAAGCCATTGTTTGGCTATCCCTGCGCTGGTCCCGTACGGTCCCGCTATGATTGAGAAACCTCCCCCCGAAAAGTTGGCCCAGCGTTTCTTAGCCAACTTGCTGGAGAGATGGCTCGGTTTCTTAACGGGATTGGTAGCCTTCGATCCTGGAGATGAACAATCCACGGTCCTGGCTCCAGAAGCGGCCTGGCGTTTCCTTGAGAAACTTCTGAAAAGCTGGCCCAGCTTTCTTAATTGATCATTTTTAAAACCATACTTTTGACTGCAGTAGGGACGGGCGGTGAGGACGCCAGGGCCTTGGACGCCGAAGGTGGCACCTTTTGGGCGGCGGACTGCCAGCAGCCTGGAGGGCTGGCCAAGGAAAACCGCGAAGGGCGAGCCGCAGAGGCCAGGACGCAAGGGCACCCTGAGGACAGCCGTGCGTCCTTGCTATGAGCTCTGAGTGTGCTCCAGAGGACTGCGGGTGCACCTACGGCAGGGCTCGCTTCGATTCCCCCGATCCGATCCGATTCGACTCCGCAGGCTTCGGTTCCGACTCGATCCGACTTCGGATTCCGCTCTGGGCTCCGATCTCTCACTGGACGCACACTGGCCCGCCGATTTTTCCGCCGATCCGACTTCTCCCGGCTCGGCTGCAGATTTCCGTCGATCCGATTCCTGTCGATCGCCGGTCCGAGATTTCCGTCGATCCGATTCATGTCGATCGCCAGTCCGATCCGATTCCTGTCGATCGCCGGTCCGAGATTTCCGTCGATCCGATTCCTGTCGATCGCCGGTCTGAGAGTTCCGTCGATCCGATTCATGTCGATCGCCGGTCCGATCCGATTCCTGTCGATCGCCGGTCCGAGATTTCCGTCGATCCGATTCGCGTCGATCGCCGGTCCGACCCATTCGATCCGACTCTGTGCTCGCCGATCGATCCCAGCCGTTCGCAGATCTGCGAAAGTTCTACGACTTGCCCGTGGACTCGACGAGGAAAATCAAGTCTGGGGCAAATCGATTCTGTAGGCGATCCCCTACTCGAGGCGCTGGTTCCTGACACCGCGGGGATCGTTCAAACTTGAACGATGGGCCGCTTCGTGAACGCTGGATCGTTCCACGACGGGCCGATGCTGGGCCATGCGCGGCGTTCGACCTTAAGCGCACGCGCTGGGGTCGCCGCCGGTCGACACGACGCGAACCTGTCGTAGGTATTCTGGATTCCCAGATCCCAGTCCACTTCAAGCGGCTTCCTACTTCAAGAATCGATGTGCTTCTGCTGTATTCCGTGATTCTCTGGGAGGACCTGCACCCCATCTGCTTGATTCGCCTTTCTGCTTCATGCGTTTACCCGCTTCTTCCGAACGGCATGTGCAGATGCGATGGCGCCGCGATTCTGGTAGGCATTCCGCTCGCCCTTCACGACACCTCCCGAGCCTGCGCGGCAGGGGGCAGTGCGACCCTCCAAGAGATGGAATTTCTTGTGAATTCCAGGTCTCCGGAACCTGCCGTGTGGATCGGACGAAGCAAAGGATCGATGCATGCAGGAGGAGTCCTCCGAAGCCTGCTGGGCGCCCCGAGGCCAGGCTGTCCCGCAGCACGGGATCGGCAAGGGGGCACAGGGAGCGCACGGCACAGATCGGGCGTCGCACACGAATACGGTATGGCGGTATTTGGTCGGCTGAGGTTTTCGAGCACATCGGAGCCTTCACAAATTTGCCCAGCGAGGACCATGATCACCTTTGCCGGTTGGTTATGTTTCGTGGCAGTTATTCCGCAGGCCGAGGTGTGTCATCCAGGTCTCCCCATCCTCCTCCCTCCTCTCCTCCCACCTCCTCGTCGTCCTTCTCCTCTTCCTCCTTCTCACTCCCTTATTATCCCCCACGTCCTCCTCATCTTCAATTCTCCCCTCATCCACTATCTCTCTCCTCGTCCTCATCTATTATTCGCCCTCCTCCCTTCCTCCTCCTCCTCCTCCTCATCCTCCTCCTCCTCCTCCTCCTCCCTCCTCCTCCTCCTCCTCCTCCTCCTCCTCCTCCTCCGTAGCCATTTTGGCTCAAGGTTCCAATGTTGCTTGGCATAGCGCCAAGAGGCTTTCATGGCATACCCTTGTTCCAGGGCCAGTTCAGGAGTGTTTTTTTTTTGCTCTCCTTACATATCCACGCGGGATTGTTTGCTTGTGGTGCCGCGGCCACCTCCATATTGACGGTCGAGAATCAAGATTCAGCGGTCTGCGGCGATCTCTCAACATGCCCGAGACGTGCGACCTGGCCACCATTCGTGATCGACGTGAGCGAAGCCCTCGGAGTAACAAAGACCCATGGCAAGACGCTGCACAGAAAGAAAGGCTTGAACTATTCCGCTCCGAGATCGAGAAGCACCTGGCCATTCAAGTTGCCGACGCGGCTGAACAGTTCAAGGCCACCGCAGAGAAGGTTGCCGCTTCGTCTCAGGCCAGCTTCATCACGCACATCACCAGCATCACAGCCAAGCTCACCGAACGCCAGGACCACGTCGAGAACGACATCGTCTCCCTCAAGCAGCGCGTCTCCGCCTCTGAAGTGGAGTCTAAGAACCTCAACGACGCGGTGGACAAGATCAAGATCGCCATCGCCCACGCTGAAGCCCAAGTTCCCTCCCTCGACGTCAGCAACATCGGCTCGTGGGACAGGGCCCCACACATCGGCACCTTCTGGATCGCCTCCACCGTGGACATCACTCAAGCATCTCTCAAGTCGGCCATCGCAGAGTGGTTTTTGGCAGCCAATATCGACGTGTCTATGGTTCGCTACAACAACTCCGCGCCTGCCAAGCGCGTCTCCATCACTGTACTCGGAGCAGACGCCGTCGCCGTTCCACGTGCTCAAGCTCTCCACCATCACCTCCGCATTGGACGGGAATGGCGTACTTTCACGATCGGCGGCGCCCCATGCTACGTTAGCGCAGACAAGAGCCCCAAGCTCGTCAGACAGGAGATCCAGCTCAAGAAGCTGGCAAGGATCATCAACAACGCCAAGCAGGACCTCAACCCCAAGATCCACCGTACCGACGGCTACCTCTCCATCGACAATGTCCCCATTGTCCGCATCCAAGTGGGCTCCCGCCCTGAGATGCCGACCAAGATTCAATGGTCTGATGCTGCTGAAGGTGCCGGCCTTACATCTGCAATGCGATCTTCGTGCGCCGACGCTCTTGCCGCTGCCTTCGCGGATGCAACCACATCAGTGTCGTGGATTTAACAGCAAATGGACTCCTTGGAGCGCGACTACCACGTCATCTTTGACTGAGTGCTCAGTGGTCAGCTGGAACGCTCAGGCACTGGTGCACTCAAACATCGTCAAGCGCGACGCCAAGCTCTCCATCCTCAAACCCTACCTCGCCAAGCGATCGCTCATTGCCATTCAGGAAACTCACGGCACCTCGCAGATGATCCACACCCTCATCAACTCCACGGGCGCAAAGTACGACGTCTACCACAGCGGCATCCCCGACTCCAACGCGGCGGGCGGCGTCGCCTTCCTCATCCCAAAGTTCTTCCCCTGCGGCGACCAAGACAACCCCAAGCCGTTGATCAACTTCTCCGCGGTCATACCTGGCCGAGTCGCCGAACTGCGAATCCGCGACCCCAGCCTGAAGTACCTCCATATCTACCTCAACATTCATAACCATGATCTATCTGCTGACGACCGAAGACGGATCAAGGCCACGTGGCAAGTGGCAATGAATGAAGCAAGCAGCGACCCTGAGCACGTTTTGTTCTTCATGCTCGGCGACTTCAACATCTCTGAGCTACCTGCCCGCAATCTACTACGTCCTGTCGAAGTGCCTGCTCAAGAACGATACCAGTTCCAGCCCACCTTCTGGAAGCAGCTCTTTCGACCGCTGGTCGAGATCTGCACGCCATCCACCACCCACCGCTGCTGCGCGAACAACACTGAGTCAAGCATTGATCGCTTCTTCACCTCCTTCCAGGCACATACTCTCACCCATAGTGAGACGATCATGGTTGCCGACGACTCGCCACTCGAACGGAAAGGAATACCTGCCAGTGACCATAAACTCCTTCGTGCCCGATTTCGCCCCCGAGCTCAACGGCCCCATGCTGAACGAGGCATCCCCGCCTACCTCTTCAACTCCGATTTCTACAAGTTCTTCATCGACAAGCTCTCCGCCGACACCGAGTACGAATCGCTCACGCCCATCATCAAGTGGCGCACGCTGAAAGCCAACATGACGAACGCTGCGAAATCCACGCGAGATGCTCTTGCGCGGCTACCGCCTGAAGTCCTTGCACGCGACCATCTCTCGATCTCCAAGGAAGTCAACTCGATGGCCATGAGAAGCATCTCCCGCGCGGTCTGGTACCAGGACATCAAGCTTGCGCGCCTCCTCATCGACACCACCCACCTGGGCTCCAAGCACTTACAGATCATCACCGACAACTCTACCGACATCCCCTCGAACAAGGTCTGCCTCAGCAACGCCAACGCATTCGCCGATGCCGCTGCCGAAGTTCATGCTGCTGTCGCTGAAGAACGTCGCGCCCTCGCAGCCGCACGCGCCCGCGATGCTTACCAACGTCTACAGCGTCAACAAGGGGACAGGTGGCGGAAACGGGCCAGTGCTTCACGTAGGCTGGGAGAGCTTTGGAAGCCCTTCTCCAAGCGTCTGG